GTGGGAAGCAAGGGTGCAGTGGCCCTGCTCTAAGGAACTTTCTGCCCTCCCACAGGAGTGGTGAGGGAACCAGATTTTGAGGGACCTTGTGATCTGGAGGATGTTACTAGTCTCTGTTTTCTAGGGTACCAGGAAAGCTGAGGAACAACAACTTTAGTCTCAGCCCTGGGCACTGGCTTCAGCTTCTCAGATAGGCAAGGCTGTGGTGAACTCAGCTCTTGCATTTCTTGTCCCTGACACTTACTAGTTTTTGCAGGTAACAAAGCCTAACAGAAAACACTTGCATTAGCAGTGTAGCTGCACAATCTTTTTCTTTCTGGTGGTCATTTTTAAGTTCCATATCTTGGGATGATGCCATTGAATGACTGACAATAAAATCTCCCAGAGAAGATGAGACCTGAACGTTAAATACAAAAAAGGCAAAGAAATCATCTTGGCACCCCATGTTTTTCAGTCCTACGTGATACAAACAAACAGGTCTTTTGCTTTTCATATCTCAAAAAATCCTCTTTTCACGTTTTCCCTTCAGAGCTCTTGACAGCCACATTCCCATAGCTCAGGGCAAACTGCTGAGCGCTCCCTCTGTGGCACATGGGGATAAGCAAGTGATCCCACTGAAGCCTGGCATATCTCTCAGCAGCAGCCACACGCAACTTTCCATAACGTTATCTTTGACCCAGTAAGGACTCAATATTTTGCTATAAAGCATTGGTTTTTCCTTTGTAGCATCTTGATCATGGTCCCAAATGGAAAGCATGAGGTACACATGTTTTGGATAGAACTGGTCATCAGTATGTGCCGGCTCAGAAGCCCTTGCAAGCAACCCTGGAAAACAGAAATGCACTGACAGTAGGGTGTTACCTCCTGCTGAAGGACTGAAGATCGCAGACCTAGAATTGATGCCACCAAAAATGCTGCCTTAGCAAATAACTAACATCTGCCCTGGCCCTTCACATTTACAAAATAATTTCCAAACTTTAATTAATCACCACAGCATTTGTGTTATGCTGTAGTAAATACTATTCATAGGTAGCAGTAAATATTTTTCATCCATTCATATGGATGTCAATTCTGCAGCTGAGAAATTAAATAAGCCAACTGAAGCCACATAGTATGTGCATGTCTGCCCAAGCATGGCTCAGAGTTCCATCATTGCCATTTGAGAGCCCAGCACTAGTGGGTTGTGTGTGGTGTCACATCCTGAAGCGTGGTCACCATCGCTGCTCACTGATCGCGCAGAGTCTGTGCCGGCATCAAGGAACAAGGAATATTCTGAGACAGTAACTGTCTGCGGCCCGGAGACTCACCTAGGGCACCCCTGATCAGTGCCTGGGGGCACTCGTCTCCTCTTCCTGGGCAGCTTAGAGACTGGGTTGGAGTTATTTTTAAATAACTTAAAGTCCTGGGTTGGAGTTTATTTTTTTCATAGCAGCTTGTCTTGTGCTATGTTTTAGATTTGCGACCAAAACAATACTGATAATAGACTTTAATGTTTTAGTTATTGCTGCAAAGTGCTTCTGCAGCATCAAAGCCTTCTCTGCTTCTCACTCTGCCCTCCTCCAGTGAATAGACATGGGGGTGCACAAGAGGTTGGGAGGAGACACAACTGGGGAGACAAAATAACCAAAGAGAGATTCCACACCATATAATGTCATGCTCAGCAATAAAATGGAGAGGAGGAGACTTAGGGAGATTAGCCACCTTTTGCTCAGGAACTGGCTGGGCATAGGTCTACCTGTCTCAGGCCAAATCTTGGGAAGCTAAAGACTTGGAAGCAATTTCTCCACTGCTGTACATCAGCATAGCTTAACATATTTAACTTGATTTACAGCAGGTGAAGATTGGGTCCATCTGCTTTATACTAGCCTGAGAACGATGCTTTTGTAAAGAAGCTTTTGGAATTTCTGTCAGGAACCCCTATGCATTTATGATTCAGACTTCAGGCATCACTTTCTGCTTCCTCCAGCTCTTGTAGAAGGAATCTTCCCAGGACTGGTTTCTCCTCTCATTTAGGTGGCTTCCTCTGGCTTAGAAGGGAATCCAGAAATAATTCCTCTTACTATATAGATATCACAACCTAGACTCAGTCTCGCTGTACACCTTAAATGAAGCAGGTAAAAATGTACATTATTGCCTCTATGCTTGAGGTTGAGTCTCACAGCAGTGTGTCACACAAGTGTGGTCACAACAACTGCTTCATTTGTACCCTTATCTCATGTTTAACCTCTCTGATATGTCAGGATTTTTTTCTCCCCTAAACACTTATTTCCTTTAAATTATATCACCCTTAAACCCATTTACACTTATTTAAAAACCTATAACCTTGAAAGTCCAGTCACTTGAACTCAAGGTTTTCTCGACTCTTTC